CTCCGTTCAGAATCGTTTTTCGTATACAATGATACCTATCATTGCATTCAAATTTAATCCCATCCATTACAGTAACCTACTGTACAGCAGAGCGACATCCACGACTTACCCACTTTTTTTAGTTATTAAAATGTTTATTCTAAGAATATATTTATCCTATGTAGTATTTAACATTTATTATACTTGGATTATACACAGTGTTTATTTCAGGGAAGTATTTAAGGGGGGGAGTATTCTTTTCCCTGAAAAATGTATGACAATACTTCGTAAAATACCTATAATATATGTGATGCAATATGTGAAATGAGTTATCGGTCGATTATGAGTACCTAATATATTGTACTGTTTAAATTAAAACAAATACCTAAAATAACTTATTGAGTATTGCCTTTTCGCCAATTAATGTGTACCAATAATAATCACTATGTATCTTGTTACATTGTATAATACGTACCTAATCGATTTTAGGTTGATACTTCATCGAAATATCGCATGAAGGAATCTTAGATAATTTTTAAAATGTGCTGTCGTCTGTYAGTGTAGGTAGTGGTTTACAACGTTATGATTTTTACGTTTAACTGTTTGATACATTACTAATGGTTTGGTCAAGTATTTGTGATTTTTGTTTCATAAAAAAATAACATCTAACCATAACTATAAACACAAATATTATTCTATATAAGATTTAGTTTCGAAAAAATAAAACAATTTCGGCCAATATACGAGAATAAGAAGACGTTGATGATGAGCATCATGACCCGGTGGTTTTACCTCTACCTACAAAATTAATCTAAGTTTAAAGTAGATATTCATGAATTAGCGGAAACTTATTGTTGTCAAAAAGATTGGTAAAAATTGTTCAAATGAATATATATTTCAATACTGAAAAATGTGGGGCTCTTTATTAATATGTGAACAATTTCTTAGTAATGTTCAAAGAGCTTTACAGAAATCGAAAAATATTTTTGTATGTACTCCATTAAACATTTTTCAAAAACCTACTGGTAAAATTGTTAAATTCTTAAAATCTTAAAACACGCTTGTTCATATAATAACTCTAAGGCTGTAGCTTAGAACATTCTTACACGGAAAAAATGAACCTATATGGTTCAACAAAGTAACTCAGAAAAAATACAACATAAAATTAATCTTTCTACTTTTGTGCATAGTGTTTATTTTTCACCAAAAGAAGAAATTCCTTATAATACTACTAAATACGAACTGTTTTTAAATAAAGTAGCGGTAAAAATAATATCAAATTTTACTTAGGTAGACGGAAAAACAAAACGGAAGTCGATTCCATTAGTGAAAACTTGGCTATATTGAAATATTACATTATATTGGCACTATTCTTGAAACTCAAAACCTAAATTAATTTAAAAAATAAATACTTTTCATTAATGGACGACGAGTCGACAAATATAAAAATATTTGTGAAATGACAATAATTATGCATTTTGTAACAGATTATGGTAAAATTAGAGAATGATTTTTATGCATCGTAGAATAATTGTTTGGTACAGATGCGCAATAAATCTCAAGGATTCAAAAATATGGTCTTCTAGTGCATTTAAAAATTCCAAAAATTAGAATTTGAAAATACCTATGCATAATTTAAGCATACAAATAAGGTGAGCATGCTTATTAAAACAGCCCGCATGTGTATAGTACCTATCTTCATCTATATCCGTGCTGTGGACATACCTAAAAATGTATGTTTTATATTGATAACATATAGAGCCGTGGATGAATTCAAATGACACCTCGATTTTAAATATTTTTAAATTTTTAATAATACATTCATTTTGGCTTCACGTGTGATAACAGATTATCAATATTTTATTTAATCAATAATCATATTATAATTATTATTTATTTTAATGTATTGCATTATGACGAACATACATTTATTACTTTTTACTTTTAATGTGTGAAATATCTACCTATGTCAAAAATAAATTTTCAAAAATCAYATTGCTTGTATAGAGACACCCAATTTATTTTATCACTACACATTGTTTAAATTGTAAATGAATATATTTTATTTTTATAAATCTAATTTTCAAGAAAACATATTTTAGATTCTGAGCGGAGCGATGAATGTATTGATTTTACCATGATGTGTGTTTTTTTTTTGTGTCTGTCATCGCGTTTTGGGGCAGTAAAAGTGCTTCGATTTTTGACTTCAGTACCTAGTTCGATCAGAAAGTGAATCTATCTCTGATGTAATTTTAAAACAAATGAYCATAGATACATGACATTTTCATCGAATGTTTATATATGTAAGTATATTCTATCCACCATGCATTTTCAAAAATTTTCGACTTAAGTTAACCTATTCATAGGCATTTGAAATTTTCGATCATTATTAGTTTTTTTTTAAAATTAATATTGATAAAAATTTATTTGTTTGGCAGAAAAGCTTGAAAATTTAATACAAGGCTCTTAACATATTGTTAGAATAGCAGTTGAAAAATAAAAGAAATTCATAGTCACAATTCTTTTTTATGAGCATTCAAAATTTTAATTTTGACAAAATACGTAAAAATCACGAAAATTCACAAATTATTTTAA